GGTATCGAAACCAGTTTTCTAGCTTTGTAAGTCCGCAGACATACCGTTGTGCCACTGGGGGCAATTTCGCTCGGCAGAATATTCATATACAAGCTCTGACAGGACTTCCCAGAATGCCACATCACACACGTCAGAATTGTTATTACTATTTATTAAGTCTCATTATCAGGTAATTCTATTTCTACATATGTCATGTGAGCTTAATTTTGAGGGAAATGATCAGACTTATCTTGTGCACTGTTCATATAGAGAGACTAGTCACACCCGCATGAATCCTGATCATGAGTGACTGCCTAAATGTAGAATTTTAGATTTAACTTAGTCCACGGTTAAGTACATTCTGTTTGTCTTAAAACGTATAATTAAGCCCCTGTACCAAATTAAAACAAAGTAATTACTTCAATAAAGATATATTTATTTTTCTAAATTAAGAAAGGATACAGCTTTAATACCTGTACTTCTATATCTCAATATTTTACTTAATATAATGATATTTTTTATGCTTACTGCACCTTTTTTCCCTCGGTGGCTTTAAAGGAAGCTGGAATAAAGTTAAAATTTTGGGTTGGATACCCGCAATTGGCAGAACGCAGATAGTTCATTGTGTAGCTTTGTGCATAAAAACAGTCTTGTTTGTATCTTCATCATATATCTTCCAAATTCACACATCCAGTTCACGTTCAAAAGAATAAAAACAAAATTACGTCACCTTAATAATTCAGTTCCACCTATCATCACAAAAAAATATTGCTACAAATTGCTTGTATATCTTAATCCTACACTCTGTTATTTTGAAAATCATTAAATCTGGATCGCTACTGCTTCTTTAGTAAAAGATCTTAAACTCGATAAAAAGCTCAAAATAGAAGACTTTAACAGCTTCAAGGTTATTATTTGATTAAACCAAAACTGGGTCATTAGAAAAACATCATCACACACAAATTGCCCTGCATGGTCAGGTGGTTAGGGCGCTCAACTCCCAATCTGCAGGTCGCGGGTTCGAATCCCTGTCCCACCAAATATGCTCGCCCTTTCAGCCGCGGGGGCGCTATAATGTGACGGTCAATCCCACTATTCGTTGGTAAAAGAGTTGCCCAAGAGTTGGCGGTGGGTGGTGATGACTAGCTGCCTCCCCTCTAGTCTTACACTGCTAAATTAGGGACGGCTATCGCAGATAGCCCTCGTTTAGCTTTGCGCGAAATTCAAAACAAACAAACACACACAAATAATGTAAGAAAACAGATCTTGGAATTTCTAAACCACAAATAATTCAATAGCTACTCATGTATCTGACTGTACACTCTATTCATCTTAGTCTTAATCATTGAATGGTGAGGTTAAGTAAACAGAAATGTGACCACGAATAAAATGTTTTATCAGGCAGTCAGTGATGAAATTAAGTGTACAGGAATGTAACCATGAATACATATCTTAGCATCATGTAGAAAGTAAACGATGAGGTTAAATGAACAGATATGTAACCATGAACAAACAGAATTTATCAAGAGGAAGTAAACTGTGTGTCGGGCAGTAAATGATGAGGTAAAATTAACGTAAATATAACCATGAATAAAACATTTTAACCTCGTGAGGTCAAGCAAACATAAATATAACCATAGATAAAACATTTTGTCATTAGGCGGTAAAGTATTAGGTGAAAGAGATTCGAGAAATGTGGATTAAAGAATTTAAAAAAATTGAAATGAGTTTGAATGCTGTTACAGTGTCGCTTCAAAGTTAATGCAACATAATGAGTCAGATTTGTAAATTCTGTAATTGTAAGCGAACATATTTGAGTCATATGTATTGGATATGGGAATAGTGAGGTGAAGCAAAACATTTAAAACTGATGTCTTCATTTTGTCAAATGCAAATCAGAGGGAGAAGTGTTTTTTTTTTTAATGTACTAGCTATGTTACAAGTGGTGCAGTGAGGATTTCATATTTAAAAACAGTGAGGGTATGTTTTTGTTTTTTTTTGTAATGGTTTCCCAAAGTGATGTTGTTTCTAATGATTTTACTCATCTTCTATTGAAGTTTGATTTTTATTCTTAATAAACACCCAAAACTATATATATATTTTTAATGTAAGTAAAATGCATGTCTCTACTATAAAAAAGTATGTTCCCAGAAGGTATTATTTGGACCTACATTTTTGTTATGGCCTAAAACAATACAAATGAATCTGTGAAGAATGAATACTATTGTAAGCTATATATATTTAATATTTTCATGTAGATATTTGATTGCTCGAAAAAAGGATGACACCAGATTTAGGTAGTAATAAGAGCGCAATATAAATACCAGATTGAGTGAGTTATTTAGTTCAATGCAAGTGAGACGTACATTCGTTTATAATTTCCTGTTGAAAACCTACTCAACAATAGAACACGTCACAACAATATACTACTTGTCATATCAATAGTTTAACACGTTTGTATTCCTCCAACGGTTTCTGTAGAAATAATTACATTTCATACAGATTAGCACTAAAAATAAAACTGGTCATAAGGGTTTGTA